GGCCTGAGTATAGGGCTTTCGGGGCGTCCGGGTCGGGTCCCACCCCGACCTCAAATACTCAAAAATCCGACGCTACCTCAATATTGAGGAATTTTTGAGGAGGTAGGGCAAGGCAGCGCTCGACGCCCCTCCGCAACCTCACTCACGCCCCGAGGTCGGAATTTTCGATTTCCGATTTTGGGAAAGCGGAAAACGCGGTCCTTTTTTTTGATCCCCCCTTGTCGCCCCCCGTTTGAGAGGAGATCAGGGAGGAGGGTATCGTAAGAAAGGCCGTTCCTTCGACTACCTCCCGTATCGATCCGAACCCGGCCGGACCTAACGCGACCTTAATCGACGCGTTCAACGACAACATTGAAAAAGGTCATATTTTTGAGTTTTTGAGGTAGGCGATTTTTGAGGGCGGATCCGACGTTCCCGACCCGAAAAACCCTCCCGTGCCGGTTTCGAACCGATTCGGCCGGTAAACCTCGGAGATAGCAAACTTTTTCAACTTTGAGGAGGCGCCCTCAAAAAAAACTCCACAGACGGGTATAGGACATGGGCCTTCAGAACGATGCCCGGGTATAGGCGCGTCGACGTAGGTACTCGGATTTTCGATCCGTCCCATAGGAGACGAGATCCTCCCTAACCTCAATACCTCCTCAATTTTGAGGGGCGTCCTTTTTGAGGGTTCCGGTGCGCCTCGGGCCCCTCTACGCGAATATACCATCCGCGCCCAGATCCGACCTCGAATAATTCCGGAAACCTCGAAAAACCGAAAAAGGGCTACCTCCTCAAAAGCAATTTTTTGAGGTCGCCCCCTCATCGAGATTTTTTTCTGAATCCGACGGCGAAAACCCCGACCCCCCAGGTCGTACCGTTTCCGAGATAGCCCCCCCGACTTCGCCCCCCTGCCCCCCATCGAAAAAATAAAACCGGTTTTTTCAATCGGGGGCCGGACTGCGTCCGGCCCCCGAGTTTCATCCCCCCACCTCTTCTGCTTCTTCCCAGCTCATGTTCCGTATTTGCGGGTGAGACTAGCTACGTACAGACCGCCTCCGTATACAGACCGCCTCCATATACAGACCGCCTCCATATACGGACCGCCTCTATATACAGACCGCCTCCATATACAGACCGCCTCCATATAAAGACCGCCTCCGTATACGGACCGCCTCCATATACAGACCGCCTCCATATACGGACCGCCTCCATATACGGACCGCCTCCATATACGGACCGCCTCCATATACGGACCGCCTCTATATACAGACCGCCTCCATATACAGATCGCCTCTGTATACGGACCGCCTCCATATACAGACCGCCTCCATATACAGACCGCCTCCGTATACGAACCGCCTCCATATATAGACCGCCTCCATATACAGACCGCTTACATATACAGACCGCCTCCGTATATAGACCCCCTCCATATACAGACCGCCTCCATATACGGACCGCCTCCATATACGGACCGCCTCCATATACAGACCGCTTCCATATACGGACCGCCTCCTTATACAGACCGCCTCCATATACGGACCGCCTCCATATACGGACCGCCTCCATATACGGACCGCCTCTATATACAGACCGCCTCCATATACAGATCGCCTCTGTATACGGACCGCCTCCATATACAGACCGCCTCCGTATATAGACCCCCTCCATATACATACCGCCTCCATATACAGACCGCCTCCATATACAGACCGCCTCCGTATACGGACCGCTTCCATATACGGACCGCCTCCATATACAGACCGCCTCCATATACGGACCGCCTCCTTATACAAACCGCCTCCATATACGGACCGCCTCCATATACGGACCGCCTCCATATACGGACCGCCTCTATATACAGACCGCCTCCATATACAGATCGCCTCTGTATACGGACCGCCTCCATATACAGACCGCCTCCATATACAGACCGCCTCCGTATACGAACCGCCTCCATATATAGACCGCCTCCATATACAGACCGCTTACATATACAGACCGCCTCCGTATATAGACCCCCTCCATATACAGACCGCCTCCATATACGGACCGCCTCCATATACAGACCGCCTCCATATACAGACCGCCTACATATACAAACCGCCTTCATATACAGACCGCCTCCATATACGGACCGCCTCCATATACAGATCGCCTCTGTATACGGACCGCCTCCATATACAGACCGTCTCCGTATACGGACCGCCTTCATTTATAGACCGCCTCCATATATAGACCGCCTCCATATACAGACCGCCTACATATACAGACCGCCTCCGTATATAGACCCCCTCCATATACAGACCGCCTCCATATACGGACCGCCTCCAAATACCGACCGCCTCCATATACAGACCGCCTACATATACAAACCGCCTTCATATACAGACCGCCTCCATATACGGACCGCCTCCATATACAGACCGCCTCCATATACAGACCGCTTCCATATACGGACCGCCTCCATATACGGACCGCCTTTATATACAGACCGCCTCTATATACAGACCGCCTACATATACAGACCGTCTCCATATAAGGACCGCCTCTATATACAGATCGCCTCTGTATACGGACCGCCTTCGTATACAGACCGCCTCCATATACGGACCGCCTCCATATACAGACCGCCTCCATATACAGACCGCCTACATATACAGACCGCCTCCATATACGGACCGCCTCCATATACAGACCGCCTCCCTATACAGACCGCCTCTATATACAAATCGCCTCTGTATACGGACCACCTTCGTATACAGACCGCCTCCATATACGGACCGCCTCCATATACAGACCGCCTACATATACAGACCGCCTCCATATACAGACCGCCTCCATATACGGACCGCCTCCATATACAGACCGCCTCCATATACAGACCGCCTACATATACAGACCGCCTCCATATACAGACCGCCTCCGTATACGGACCGCCTCCATATACGGACCGCCTCCATATACAGACCGCTTCCATATACGGACCGCCTCCCTATACAGACCGCCTCCATATACAGACCGCCTCCGTATACGGACCGCCTCCATATACAGACCGCCACCATATACGGACCGCCTCCATATACAGACCGCCTCCATATACAGACCGCCTCTATATACAGACGGCCTCCATATACAGACCGCCTCCATATACAGATTGGCTCTGTATACGGACCACCTTCGTATACGGACCACCTTTGTATATGGACCGTCTTCATAGAGAGAACACTTTCATAAATAGAATGTTTTTAAAAAGAAATTATATTTTTATATAATCAATCAATTTATCTTTTTTTTTAAATACTCGCTCTACTGCGCTTCGGTCGTGATTAAAGTGTTTGAAATAATATTTTTATATTTAATTAATCTAAATTTAATAAAATTAAATAAAACTGAAAATGGAAACATCCGTTAATTAAATATATTTTAACCATATGTTTTTTTTTAAATTGTTGAATATAAGATTTTTATGTTGAATATAATAATTTGTTATAATAAAAGAAAATTAAAATTGAAATAAAAATTTTTTGGTACTAATGTAGTTTTAAATATATATTTTTGAATTTATTATTATTATGCATTATTAATTTATATTTAATTATATTTAAAAAAAAATAAATAAAATGAAACGCGGTAAAAATTATTTTGTATTAAAAATATAAGTAAAAAGATTTCCTTATTCGTAAGATGTTTGGTATGTTTTTTTAGACACTCGCTCCGCTGCGCTCCGCTCGTGACTAAATTGTTGAATATAAGATTTTTATGTTGAATATAATAATTTGTTATAATAAAAGAAAATTAAAATTGAAATAAAAATTTTTTGGTACTAATGTAGTTTTAAATATATATTTTTGAATTTATTATTATTATGCATTATTAATTTATATTTAATTATATTTAAAAAAAAATAAATAAAATGGAACGTGGTAAAAATTATTTTGTATTAAAAATATAAGTAAAAAGATTTCCTTATTCGTAAGATGTTTGGTATGTTTTTTTAGACACTCGCTCCGCTGCGCTCCGCTCGTGACTAAACTATTGAATATAATGTTTTTATATATAATTAATTTGTTTTGGTAAAAGAAAATTAAAATTGAAATAAAAATTTTTTGGTACTAATGAAGTTTTAAATATATATTTTTCAGTGTGTTATTATTTCATATTATTAATTTATATTTAATTATATTTAAAAAATAAATAAAATGAAATGTGGCAAAAATTATTTTGTATTAAAAATATAAGTAAAAAATTTCCTTATTCGTAAGATGTTTGATATATTTTTTTAAACACTCGCTCCGCTGCGCTTCGCTCGTGACTAAACTGTTGAATATAATGTGTTTATATATGATTAATTTGTTTTGGTAAAAGAAAATTAAAAAATTGAAAAAAAAAATGGTATTAATGAAGTTTTAATTATATATTGTTGAGTTTATTGCTATTATACATAATTAATTTATATTTAATTATATTAAAAAAAAATAAAGTGAAATAAAATGTAGGCAAAAATTATTTTGTATTAAAAATGTAAGTAAAAAAATTTTTTTATTTGTAAGATGTTTGGTATATATTCTATTAGTCACGAGCGAAGCGTAGCGTTGAATTTATTATGATATACAATAGATTGATATTTATTGAAATTTAAGAAGATTAAAATGAAATTGTAGTATAAATTAATTAATTGTACGAATAAACATCTAATTATGCTTTTTTTTTAATTTGTTTTATTGCGTTTTATTTGTGAGTAAATTCGAATTATTTTTTTTTAAATGTATTTATACTTTGTAAATTTTTGTTTATAATAAATTTATAAATAAATAAATTATAAATTGATTGAAAATTACAATTTATTATAATTTATTTTATGAAAAAGATTGAAACAATTTTTTTTTAATATTTATTATATAAATACAGAAGTTATACAGGTATAAAAAAATGAAAAGATATTAAAATTATTAAACAAATTTGATAAATAATTTTAAAAAATTATATAATATTAGCAAAAGGGATATGATTTTTTAAGAATTACAATCGCATTATTCTTATATATATTACAAACATATTTATCATCCATATTTAATGTATATATAAAAATCACTGACACTTTATTCAAAAAATAATAATGGTTTTTACATATTTTGATCAATTTTTCGAATAAAAAATTTTCGTTTAAATTTAGAACAAAAGGAAAAGTGTAATAATATAGTGTTATTTTTACAATTTTGAAAAAAATATTAATACAATATTGATATTACAATTAAATATATAACTATATAAAAAATATATTTTATAAGTCGATAATTATTTATATGAATGACAAAATTTTCAAATAATATTTTTTATATAGTTTATATATTTCAATTAGAGAATTACAAATTTTTTTTAAATATGTTCACAAATATATTGTTTTTAAAGTGTTTAAAAAAGTTACTTTTTATATTTAAATCTATTTGTTGAAGTGATATACTCCGAAAATGATTTTCTTCTAATTAAATGATGATGATTTTTGGTAAAGTTTCAATGATCATCCTTTGAGTGAAATCGTCAAGGATTTCGTTTCCGATAACTGATTGGCGCTATTCTTTATAATTCAGTTGTCGATGATGATTTGTTGTCTACCTGCACAAACATAATAAGGTTAAAACATTTATTTTTGAAAGAAATAAATGTAAAATTTTAAAATTTATAAAAGATATTAAGAAATTAAAACATATTTATTTTAAATAGTTTAACAAAACATATAAATGATTTAAGTATAGAAATGTTTAAAATATAAATCATTCAATATATATTAAAAGTTAGTTTCGTAAAAATAATTGAGTAACTTAATCAATTTCATGAAAGCATTACATAAATTATTAACTTTTTAATATGAAACACTACATATAATATACGATATGAATTTATTTAAAACTTACTTGGTATATTTGAATCTTTTTATTCGAGTATCGTATTTCTTGGAAAACCTCTTCTCATCTACATGACATCAGTCCTTGTAGGGTTACAACGGTAATCTTTTTGATGAAATTATCAACGGCTTTTTTTTTGGATGAATGGTCAAAGATATTCTTCATAAAAGTAATCATCAATGGTCAATGATGGTTTGTTCATTTGCATAAATATATCCATCTTAAATCAGTGATGGCAATTTTGGCAAGTTCCTTATGACAATTTCTTTAGAAGTTGTCTACAATTGTTTTTTTGATAACTAACTCGGAGTAATTTTTATGTTGTACGAGGTATATTCACTCGTACTTGATGAAAACTATCTAATCCGAATTGGAATCATTCTTTATGACTAAACACCTTGTTGTTGAATCATATCAAATATTTTTCTGTATGCTCACTTTTCTATTATCTGTATTGTTTTGCTTTTGCGTAATTTCTTGGGTATTCTAATTACCTAAAACAATATGAAAAAGAGTTAGAGGTTATAAAAAATTAAGTCGCGTAACAATTTAAAATTCTATATTAAATACCTGTTATGTGTGAAATATCTCTGTTTCTTCTTAAAATAAATCCCCGCGATGTATTTTTTGCGCGATGAACGATGATATTCCAAAATCTTGAAATTTGCAGCCATGTTTTCATCTCGGCGTTTTCTACGTCTCTTCTTCGTGTTCGAATATGGTTGCGTCTACCATAGATTCAAATTCGGAAGGGCACTGCAGAAAAAATGTTATATTAAATACTTTTAATTTGTAAACTGTATTTGTTTCTCTTGGAAATAAACCCCAGTGATGCATTTTTCACGCGATTGATGACGATATGCCAAAATTTAAAAATTCGTCGACATGTACTCATTTTGACATTTTCTATGTTTAACTGTGTTCGCGTTTACCATAGTTTGAAACTCGAGAGGGCATTGTAAAACCGGCTCAAATAATCCCACAACTGTTGATGACGTCATAAATTTAAAATTGTCATTAATATTACAATTAGGATTATATATTATTATTGTTGATTTGACAAATAAAGTAATTATATACGATGGAAAGACATTACAATTTTTGTTGATTTCATCATGATGTTTTGATATTGTTTTACATTATTTTTTTTAAGAAGTAAAAAGGAATCTGTAATTCCGAAATTGCTTGATAGATGGCGTAGATTTACGCTTTATATATATTTGTTTTTCAGCTTGAAAATATACGAAACTATGTAAAATAATTATTGATTTTAATTTGATATATTTTATAAAATAAATATTAAAGACTTACTTGTTAAATTGAAATTTGTTTATCCAAATAATGTATTTCTTGCTTGATTCGATAGATTCCTATCGAGTTCTGATAACATTTATTCACTGAAACTATTTTTTTTCTTTTCATTACGTTGTCGATGGTGATTTGTTGTCCATCTACATAAATAAAGAATAAATACAAAATTGTAAATTTAAAAAGAAACGTTGCTTAAGAAAATACATAAATAATTTAAATAGTGAATTATTAATATTTCATTTTAAAAACTATGATGTAAATATTAAAAAACTCAAATTAGTTTTTTGTTTTTTTAAGGAAAAGGAAAGTGAATGGTATTGTTTATAATTGTATTGTTAATGAAAATTTGTTTTTTATTATTATTATTTAAAAAAAGGTTAAATTTTACATTTTATAAAAGATATTGGAAAATTAGATGGTGTAATTTGAATAGAAGGAAAAATATAATTTGTTTTGTAAAAATAACCTATTACCTAGTTAATTTTATAAAAATATTATAGCAACTATTAACTTTTTAATATTAAAATACTACATATAACGTACAATATGAGTTTATTAAAAATTTTTAATGCTTTTTTTCGGAATATTCCTTTATGTCTAGATGTTGTTGGTCCTCGTTGCAATAGTAGTTTTTTCAATGAAGTTATCCCTTTGCAATGATTGGTTCAAGACATTTTTCATAAAACAATTGTCGATAATGGTTTACTTTCTGTCTGTATAAATATTCCAAATTTTTTATTATTTCAATAAATAGAAAAACAATTTAAATTTTCCAAAATATTCTAAGAAATCAATTAAAAATAATCTATTTAAAATATAGCCATTACAAATCATATTTTGACAGAAAAAAATGTAAGTAATTTAAATCGTATAAGAAATTTTAAAAAGTTATGTGGTACGTTGATGTTGTAATGCTCAATGTCATCTATAATTTATAATATAAACATGGTAGAAATTTACTGGATATGTTTGTACTTATTTATTTGAGTGATATTTTTATTAAGTGATATTTTTGTAGTTGAATTTGTAATAACAATTGTGCAAAGTTCTTTAGGATAATCTTTTTAGAAGTTGTTGGGAGTTGTTTTGTTAATAATTAATTGATGATAATTTCCACAATGGTATGAAGTTTTACGAGGCACTTTTATCTGCATTTAACAATAACTATTGAAGTTGAAATCCAACCAATCTTCATGACAAAACATCTCATTGTTGTACGTAATTTTGTTTTTATATAAATTTTTGGATCCCGTAATCTTCAAGAATGAAATGAGAGTGAATTAAACGTTATTAATATCGTATCGAAATGAAATATATATTATATCAAATACCTGTTATATATAAAATGTAGTTCTTTCTGCTTGAAACGAATTTTCGAAGCACGTTCTTCGCACGATCGACGAGTATCTTGTAATTTATCGGCATTTGGTCTTCTTATCGTAGACATCGTATCGGATAACCTCACAACTAACGATGAGGTTAAATTTTTAATATTGTTAATATTACAATTGAAATATTATTATCGCTAATTTCATAAATTGTACATTTATATAGTGTGGCACGAAATTTTAAAAAAGCGTTGTAATTTTAATTAATTTGGTGACGACATTTAGACATATATTGGTAAATGTGTTTGAAAGTTGTTTAGAATGATCTAAATTATTGTCGTTATTCTTACCCTTTTCTTGAACTGTAACGTTTCAAGAAGAAAAATAATTGATGTAATAGAGAATATTTTCAATTACAAATGTAGTTTTTATTTAGGTAATAGTTTTTTTGGAATAGAAATGGGTTCATTGTGTTAACTAAATTTAGACTATCGGTGGAATTTGTACCTTTGAATTTGTATTTGATTTGACGCACGCACGCGCTGTAACATATAATATTTGTTTTTAAATTATTAAATAAATAACATTATGAAATGTAACACTCACCTGACAATGTAGATGTCCATTGGAATAATAAAAAAAATGTTTCGTCTTTGTTGAGACTCATCAGCATTGCCTAGCGCGTTTCTTTTCAATTGTTCTTCCAACGAAAAAAAACGTCAGCAATGGACATTTTTTTTATTATTTTTTATTTTTTACCAAAATTTGAAACGAAAATATAGAGAAACCGAGTGCAATTGAAATCGTTATATCGGAGATTATAAATTTAAAATTAAGTTAATAATGTGCTTTATAGAGAGTGATATGAAAAAAAAAATAAATAAAAAAAATGTCCATTGCTGAATTGTTTTACATTAAACAATATGTTGCAATAAAAAAGAAATTCAGCAATGAACTTACAAACTAAGGGGCAATTGATTTAAAAATTTATATAATAGAATATTTGTTGAATGGAGAAAATTTAATGAAGTTATATAATGCAAAATTAAAAGAAAATTAATTTATATAAATTGCTTTACGAGAGAAATATGAATACGTTATTGTAAACAAATATAATCAACAACGACTAATTTAAAAGAAAACTTTGAAAAAGGTAATTAAATAGTGAATAAAAAAGTGAAATTCATAGAGTGAAATAACAATAAGAAGGTTGTAATAATAAAAAAAAACTATTTATTGAAGATATACAATATTGATGATAAGTAAATGTCGTTGTTGTTATAACGGCAGCATTAACGAACGTGTAAATGTGTACTTTGAAAAAAAAAAATATTAAATTTGAAGAAAAGAGTTTTAATTTCACTTTTGAAATCGAAATGTCTTGATTTTGCTTAAAAAATTGTCTAAATCGAGATAAAACTTAAGTCACAATCGGTAATGGCACGTCAACTGAGGATAATGTCGTGGTTGTCCCCGATGTTCCGGGACGGTTATCGCGCGAGACTCGTTCAAACAATTGTCGATCGTTATATGGATTGACCACGACATTATCGTACAGCCTGGGGATCGGAAGAATCCTGGGTGTGGGTCTGTGTCTCAGTACGTCCATAATAATATCGGTCAAATCTAGTGAATCGAAAAAATCGTCGTCTTGTTCGAATGAAGTATTGTTCGGTTCGTTTGACGTTGGTGGAGAGGGTGACGCGCGTGCCGGAAGCACGACTTCACCCTGACCCCCAATAATCGCACGAGTAGGATTCCAGGGTAACCGTTGTCGAAGTGGTTCGGGATTGTTAAAAATGTTGGAGTAAACGACGTTACGCGTCAGTTTAACTCCGTCTCTGCGTCTGAAAGCGCCTTGATTTGCCGTGTTTTCGATCACGACACGCACATCTTCAGGCGAGCCCACCCTAGAGAAGGCCACATAAAGCTGTCCGTGCGCGAAACACGGGCTTGGCAAATGGATTCCTACTCTTGCGTACGTCTGTCCTTGGCTTTTGTTAATCGTCATGGCGAATGCCAGCCGTATAGGAAACTGCACTCTCTTGATCGGGCGAGGAAGTTGCGGAACGCTCGATGTAATTTCAATTTTGGGCAAGTTGATGGTCTCCCCTTTGCGGGGACCCGATAAAACCTTGACTTCCAAAACTTCCTCGCCGAGACGCACAATCATCATTCTGGTGCCGTTGCACTGTCCATGCCTGACGTCTAGGTTTTTAAGCAGGACGACAACCGCTCCCGTCTTGAGCACGAGCTCATGTGGCGGAAGGTTGGACGCCGAGATCCGATGAACGACGTCCAAAGGGACGTGAAATTCATCATCCTCGGTCGCCGCATTGCCGGCATACTCGTCGACCGAGTGGTAGTACCTTGGCTCACCAATGATTTTCCGATTTAAAATTAGCAAATTAATGTCATCTACCGCGACATTGGTGGGACACAGTATCACTCGATCCCCGACGTCGTTTTCATTCACTCTGTCGTAGACCCATTCGATCAATTCCTGTATGGTTGGCATTACGAAATGACGATCGATTTTGATGAGATCGGCCGGGACGAACGTATCGCGCAAAATTGCCCTCTCGATTGACCCCTCTCCCATACGCAAAAGCCAATTGCCGTACTCTCGAATGCGGTTCCCCACGACTTCCAAGTTGACCATTTCGGGATGATGAGCCGCCGCCTCGGTCGCCAATTGTATCGCGCGATTCACTCGCAAGTTTGTCTGAAGACAAAACACCTTCACCCTGCGCCAAATCTGACTCGATTTGACACAGTTTGCAAGGATGTCCATGCGCGAACCGCGCACTACGATCGGCAACGTTTGACGAAAGTCACCCCCGAAAAGGACTACTTTTCCCCCGAAAGGAACCACATTGTTCTCGCACACGTCACAAACATACCTGTCGACCGCGTTCAACGCATGCTTTGAGGTCATCGACACCTCGTCCCAAAGAATGACGTCGGTTCGACGAATGTTTTGCGACCTTTCGTGCTCGGCCGGCCATCCGACCGTGGACTCTTCGTCCAGGTCCAGAGGGAGACGGAAAGCGTGGTGGCAGGTCCTCCCCTCTATAAGTAAAGACGCAGCGATTCCCGTCCACGCAACTGCCATCAGACGGGCACCGCCGGCAGACAGAATTCGCTCCGCGATTACGTTATAGAGAAAAGTTTTGCCAGTTCCGCCGGGCCCGTCAACAAAAAATAAATTTCTGTTGACGAACGTCTCGTCCGCCTCCAGTCCCGCAACGATAGCCCTGTCGAGGTGGAAATGTCGCAACGCACTCTCCGAATCTACGCTGTTTCTATTTTTTAACAAAGTGTAAATAACGGCGTTGTAAACAGTACGTTGATCCGCGTTCAACTCGCACACTCTGTCCCCGAATCTTAAGAGCACATTCTCGTGCTCGTCTGACGCCGGCGCGCATTGTCTCACTTCCACAAACGCGTTCGCTTCATTGACGCCAGCAGCTTCCGGGTCGTCCAGACCGATCTCGTTGAGGTTTATTCCCTCGCGATTTGCCGCCACGATTTGATCAATATTAATGAGAGCGCGGCGAAGCGCGATCGGCCGCGGAATACCGCGTCTTATGAGATCAGCGATCATGTAAGGATCTTTGAACTCTTCCCATAAGGCCGGTATTTCGTGCCGATGGCGCTCGAAGGAAACTAAAATAATTAGAGCGAAAAAATTTCTGACGCGCGGCGGCAAATCGCGATCGCAAACCTCGCGCATCGCGTTGTGGTAAATGTCAAAATTGGCGAGTAACCGACGCTTCTCGCAGGCTTCACGGTACGTTTGACAGACATACCCGTCGGCTAGCGTCCGGATCGATTCGAAGGAGGTGGCGCCCCGTAAATGTTGTAACAAAATACGCAGGTGAAACCTTTCGTCATCCAACGGGGATACTTCCGGTATAACTCCCACGATTTTATTAAAATGTTGACGCGCACGCCATTCCCCTTCTCCTCTAAACCAAACGTAGTTTTCGGGTATCTCGACGTAGCGCAGCCGCCGTGCTTCGGGGTCGACCGCATTCAGACGGAAATACGCCACCAATTTAGACACGTAGTTTGTTGCGTCCGCGACACGGGTCAGTAATTCATCTTCGTCGTCATCTTCATCGAAAGTGACGGGTTGTTCATTCTCCAGGTGAACGGGCAACGTAACTACGGCGTGGGAACGATCGTGTAATTTATACGCGAAAATACGCCAGCACGCTTCCATCGAGCTGATATATCGACAGTCGGTATAGTTACGAATCTCGTCCCAATCGACTTCATTATTCTGCCCGCGCATTTGGATGGTGATACAATCTGGTCCTTTGTGGCAATATTTGTACAGGTATCGGATAGAGGCAAAAGATCCGACCCCTTCGAAATTAATGTGAGTCCGATATTTCATCGCAGCCCAGCGGTTGTAAGGCACGATACGCCGATTATCATAACGATTGCCTGCGAAAATGACAAACCGACCGTCATCGGGACGGGCATATTCCGGTCTTCCGTCGAAACGGTGGAAATTTAGAACGGTATCGCGTCGAAAGGCTTTTGGATAGCCTTTCGCGCACACGCGAGACTCCAAGTTTGTACACGGGGCGGCCGGATTGTCTTGACCGCAGACACGGTGCACATAATAATCACGCACAACGCCGTACAGATCCGGCTCGACTTCGCGGTCGGGAATCCGGGCGGATATAATCCGGTCCATCTTCTCCGCGTCGTCGATCCGATCCGTAGGTTCGAACCCGATTAAAATGTGAGCGTGTGGCAGTCCTCTTTTTTGAAACTCGATCGAATAATGATAAGTGCGGACGATTCCTAAAAATTGTTCTTTGACTAAATCGTCCATGAATTGTTGGAGCTTTGTATGGAAGACTCGGCACACCAATTCTGGACGATTTTCCACGCGTTGATTAAAATTTAAATTTTGAGTAATTTCTGGCCAATGGGGGTTGCAGGTCATCGTTATAAATAAGTCTGGTTTACCGTGTCTGGCAACGACTGCCATAGCGTCCAGGTATAGTTTGTTCTGTCCGCGACAACTACCCTTAAACGCGGCCGGCAGGATGGTGATACGGCCGATCCTCGCATTAGGCCCCGCTTCGGCTACGCGCCTGCGCACGTAGTCGATTAAGCGGTTGTAATACGTGGTCCGAACTTGACGTTGATTCGTCCGATACCACCACAACTCTTGCGATTCTATTTTCACGTACGTGTCAACCACGTACTGTTGAAATAGTTTCGCGGAATTGTGCAATATGGAAAAAATCCCGTCACGTACCATCAACCTGTGCTGATAGAAATCCCGGAGCGAGACTTTTTTGTCTCGTCTGCTCGCGTATCTGAGACGCATGTCATAACCGTCCTCTCCGTGAGAGAAGAGTAACGGGTACACCATGGGATCAGACACACGAGACAAATTACTAATTTTATTTTGATGGTCGATAAGCGAACGTCGTGGGTACACTCGCAGATCAACATCGAACGGTATATCGTTATCAAATACCGCTGCTATTTCGCAGCGGCTCTCGGGTAAGTTAAAATTCCGTCGATCTCTATTGATGTTGTCTTTAAATCCCACCACGATGTTCGCTACCGAGTTTGGCCCGTCACGTTCGATGCGTTCCCGAATCATTTCCCGAATGCAAATGTAACTATGGACGAGTACGTTCGTGCGCCTCAACATTTCCTCGAGGATCCGGAAAAGATGCGGATCTATTCCCGTCTCGTCAAAAAAATCGTTGCGACGTTCGAGCGCTTCCGCGACATCAAGAAAATAATATTGATTGTTTCTGATCGGTTCGTCACGGTGCGGCACATTTAGAGGGATGTCCTGAGCGTGGTGGTAAATTTGCCCCGTGATTGTGAAACAAACAGCCCCTTGTCCAACATTAACATCCGCAGGAATAGTAGCGTGCATGGAGGCCATGGCAAAATTACTATTCAATTTACGGATGTTATTCAAAAACTGCCGAGCAAGAGGTGTATTCTCAGTTAATAATTGATGCAATTCTCTCGGACATTCCCCTAAAGGCGGTAGAATAACTTCGCCCCCTTTGCAACAAATTAATCTAATATTATTCCGATTTTTCGGTTCCAATTCAAAAAACAAAGCGTTGCAAAAACGGCATACGTCAGTCATTGGCCCGCACGATTGAATTTCTACATGAAACGGTTGTCGTTGTGCTAAAGTAATAGCGTGTCGATGCGTTCTTCTAATAGGTATGTCAGCGTGCCTTCGTCTAGGAGGCGGTAATAATACATTCACCGGCACGTCGTTGTTATTTAAATTTGGAAAATGTTGATCGTTAGCTTCTGAAGGGACAGTTGTTTCGCGTAAAATATCATCGTTGGCGCATCGTTGCAAATTTGGAGAGACGGACGACGAAGTAGAATTTGTTGTTGTTGTCTGTACTTGGGGCGGTTGCGGCTGGTCTTCCATGGACGCGACTTGCAATGGAGGTTGAGAGATAGGTGGTATCTCTCGTTCCTCAATTGGGAACAAAGGTGGCAAGATGACAGGAAAACCACGTAAAATAATGTATCCCTCTCTGGGGGTTCTCGAAACGCGATTTGATGTTGCTGGTAAACGATGTAAAACCACTCGCAATCCGCGCAACGTTCGTCCAAAATGTCTGTTCGTTGCCGATAACGCTGCCGGTTCATCCAATAACATGTTTCGAATCGGTATAATTACACGACGGGCATTTAAACATTGCAAAATTTGAAAAGACGTTAAAGGTCGGATAATTATACTTAAATCGCGGATGGTGTTGAAAAAATGAAGACGTCGTATTATAACTATTAATCGGCGTCGAGATTCCAAAGATTGGCGACCTCTCAATCGATCTCTAGAAATAATACGCGATTGGTTATTAACAGGCATAATTAAACCGATTCGTTTTAATTTAAAAAATATACAAAATTTATTAAAATCTAAATATTAATATTTAAAAAAATATTAAGATGTAAGTCAAAAATTCTGAAAAAAAAAGAAAAATCGTTGTAAAACAGCTTTTAAAGTTTTGTATATTTTTAAATTTTAAAACTAAAAGACGCAAACACGAAAACGATAATCGTAATAAGAGTACTTACATTATCAATTGCCCCACGATAAATGATAGCCGGATTTCTAAAATAAAAAAAAAAAAAGAAATCAATTTATTATAGTAAAACGGTTATTTCATATTTCTCGATGATATAAATTTAAAATTTAAAAAATTATCTAATAAAATATTTGGAAAATATTGATAATTATTTTCTAGAATAAAAAAAATAAAATAAAAACAACACACACATGATAAACAACTATAGCAATTAAATAATAACTTTACTCGATTATTTAAAAAAATAGTTATAGGCAACCATGCATACAAAAGACGGACAATGAAATTATAGGAGCGAAATAATAATCGCCTATGTGATTTTCAATTATCAATGCATTAAGTCAACGAAATTGATTTATTGGCAATTTAAAATATTCAATTTATTATATTTTTTAACTGGATAAATTTTAAAAGAAAAAAAAATAATACCGAAAGGTAAAAAATAATTATATATTATGAAATAAATTAATAACCTATGGAGATCGTGTGAAACATATTCCTATATTATTCAATGAAATACGCAATAAATTAAAACACTTTTAAAATGCACAAAAATCGGCAACGTATGAGAGAAATAATTTCGCGCCTATTTTTAAACCGTCAATCGTTTAGTAACAGCGAAATTAATCATAAATTTAAACGAAAAAGACGATAAATGCATTGCTTTCTAATTACATACTGCGTATTTTATTTATTATCCAAATTCGAATATATATTAAATGAAAACGATTTTAAATTGCGCGAAAAATTGGCAACAATGTAGCTAACGTACGAGAGAAATAATTTCGCGCATATTTTGAAACCGTCAACCGCTTAGTAACAGAAAAATTAATAATAAATTAAAGGTATAATGAAGGTGAATGTGTCGTACATTCATGAAAAAGTTTATTTGTAATAATGTCTAACTGCACAAAATAAAAATTAAAAACATAAGTTATATATCAAACGCTACATAAAAAAAAACGCGAAAAGGGAAAAAAGTGAAAGGGGAAATAATATAGCGTGAATTTTTCCAATTGCATGTTTTATTTAAATGTAATCGTACGATTTAAATTTGAAGAAAATCGCACGTAGGAAAAACAAATTTTAATAATATGAAAGAAAATAATTTTATTTTTTTATTTAATTTTACTTAATGTTTTTAAGGTTTTAGCTATCGAATTTGAAAAATAATTTGGGAAAAAATTTACCTTAAACACAGAATTTTGTAACTCGTAGATCACCGAAACAATACTGGATAAAAAAAGTGGGGGATCAATATTTATATATTTAGCGAAATCGTTAATTTTCGCGCCTGAGATTTACACAGTTGCCGGTTTTCAACTTTATTGTTTCAAAAATTGAAATTACGTATAAAATTTAATTTCTATTTCACGTATATGGTAACGTTGATAATATTGAATACGGAAAATACAAAATTATTTCTTAAAGTGGAAAATTATTTCTAAAATAAAACAAAAAGTAACATGTATATTTGATACTGGCAACAATGTATGTATGCAATTTGTATCTAAGGCGGGGTTGCAATATTTAACGAAAAAATTGGCGCGAAAATGGTGCAATTAAAAATAACGGTTTTTAGTAAATGGATAAAAAATAACTTTGACGATTATGAAGGGATTTTTATTGATAACATGTAATTGAAAATATGTATGCAAATAGTTTTGATTTTCTCTCTTCGTAAATTTGTGGGAATGCGAGAAAATGAAATTGATTTATAAATGGTGAATTCGCCGGGACTAATGCATATACATTATTTAAAAAAGAAATGAAACGATATTTTAAATGGCGAAAATGAATGAAAGGTAATTTACATGTTATATGATGAAAATTACATTTAATAAAAATGAATATCGTATAAAAAAACTGGAAAATACGCAATGATAATTGAAATGTGTTTTATTCAATGAATTAAAAAAAATACATACAAATATGCGTTAATATTATTACATATAAATTACTTTTTCTAGTTGTATATTATAATTGAAATAAAGTTATTAACATTAAAACACATTCATCAGTTTAACAATTTAAATAACAACGGTTCAATATAAGTTTAATAAATTTATATCCAGATTTATAATAATTTAAGAAAATATAATACAACTTTGTTAATTATATACAAAACTATAAAATTTTGTAATTGTCCTAATTGTTTATTTCTTTATTATGATAAATATAAAGTAAATGATAAGCAATAGGAATCTTAAATTTATAATAAAAGTAAGTTTTTGTTTAAAAATTTTTAATGAATATAATTCAATAATCGTATCGATTTAATTAAAGAAATATGTTGAAAAGTACATGAATTTCATTAAATGTGTAGCTTTCCTAATCTTCTTTATTGTTATTAATTGTATCATTCCAATTATTGATGAAGATGTTGTTTTTCACAAACGTACGTTATTGATTGTTGTCCTTAAATTATAGTTGGATCTTCTTTGTGTCTACAAAAATAAATGTTTGTTATTAATAATACATCTGTTAAATCTAACAATGCACAAAAATATAAATTAAAAATGTATTTATTACATGCCTTGGTTCAATTAAAAAATACATATATATTTTAAAAGTATGAAAGTAAAATATTGTAAATATTAAAATTATTGTTTCTTTACATTTTAAAAATTTGATCGATATTTTTACATGTAAAAAAAATTTATCAATTCTGAGAATTCTTTTTTAATAATAGGACAACATATTTTTCTAAATTCATTTCAAGTACATAATTACATTCATATTTAAACTACATACATTATTTTATATAATAAATTATATATATATATATATATATATATATATATATATATATATATATATATATATATATATATATATATATGTTATTTTCAATATATGAAAAAAATATAAATATTGTAATTTGAAAGTGAGAGAAATATTTACATGAATAATAATAATTTATATAAGAATTTTTTGTTTATAATCAATCTTAATTGAACTAAAAAATATTAATACATATTAAAAATTATAGGAAACAGTTACGAATTGTATAATCTAAATATCGTTTGTAATTTACTACTTGAAATAATTTTAAAAATTTACCTATTATATTTGAAGGTATTATTATATGTAACTAAACAAACCATCTACGGTCCTACATGCAATTGATGATATTCTCTATAATTAGCTTATCGCTGATGATTTCTCCTCATGTCCAACTATTAATTATTTCACCATTAGTTGTTTGGTAGCAGGGTTGACCATGACTCGATGAATAATAGTCGTTTCTTTCATCTGAAGAAATATAAAAATTAAGTTTTCAAACAATATATTTTAATATTTAATAAAAAAAAAGAAACAATTTATATAATTTAAATTATATATAAATTAAGTAAATGTGTATTTGTTGCATTAAAAACGATTATTTAAATTGAAAAAGAAAACAAAGAATAATTGAAATTATTGAAATAAATTCGTAAAAGAATTTCATAAAATATAAATTCTACAATGTCAATTGTCATTTGGGATGTAATATATCACTATATTAAAAATTATATGTTACACCTCTTCTATGAAATCAATATACGTAGTCCCCCTTCTAGTCGCTAGGTGGCACCACAGCTTTAAAGCAGAGCCAAAAAACTGTGGAATAACTTACCATGGACGGTATATTCGCCATCTATGGTCTTAACCTCATTCCTCTTTTTGTGCTTTGGTGGCACATGTTCATTTTTATTCGGCGTCGGTGTTTTCAGCTTTTTTCAGCGTTTTTGGAAGTTAAATGGAGAAGTACAAGTGAGATTTACGTTATTCCTTATCGGATGAAGAAAGAACCTACCTACGACGAAAGATTAAATCTTTCCATCCGCGATTACATAATCGCTAGTGGCGTGGTTCCCATCAACGAGATTTTCTTACAATTGGGAGACGATTTCTTCATCGTCCGGGTTCCGATCGGAATCCCCAGAACTCGAAAGACCCCCCATCTTTCCCACTTATACGACGGCAGTCGTATGTAAGTGTTTCACAATTGGAAGCAATCCTTTTGTGAGGGGGTCGGCCATACATATGGTTTTATATTTTTTCGACATCGAAAAAATAGAGTTTTCTGGCTCGTCCGGCTATGGATGAGGCGCCCGGGATACTGGGACATAATGAACAATTTTTTATGGCTGTTGGAATGCATTTACTCCATCGTAAGTATATTTTTTAGGCCCTTCAATTAATTCTGATGTCATTGTTGAGCCCCTTGAGACGGATTTAAAGCAAAATGGCCTTTAAGCTATGGGGTCGATAGTCCCAACACAAAGTTTGATGTGTCATGACATTTTGGCAAGTCAGATTAATACCTTTTTGAAATCCGGTGTGTCCGAAGATTGTCTCAGTGACCTTTTGCGTTGATATCCTGTGCCGAAGAATTGCCGCTCAATAACTCTCCTAAATTGAATGTGCAGATGAAATCTGCCATCAACAAAGGTGGAAAGAAAAGGGATGAGAGACTGACTGCAACAAGGGGTGCTTTGATGGTGGTTGGTAGGACGCTCTTGACCTTGCTTTTGAAACCGGTTAAGGATGAGTAGTACTTACTTCTCATCGAAATGTTGAGTAATGCAATATTTGTTTTAAGCAAAATACACCATTTAGGTTCAGTATATAGAAGTTCAGCCGCGTTAAGCCTTTCGCTGCATGTATGAAGGAAGTGCTCGTTGATGCTTCTTTGCACTCTTGTTTATATGGAGAAGATTTGGCTGATAGGCTCAAATCAATCAGATTAGCTGCAGATTAGTGGCCGAGTTAAAGTCAGGTGCATCCGGAACAAGGCTTTTATAGCATACAAATTTAAACTCGACCGTCCCACTTCGTTCCCGGAAGTTGCAAGGCTGAAGTGGGTGAAAGTCATTGTACCCTCAAAAGAGGGAATACAGGAAGGTTCGAGAGGAAAGGGGGTGGAGTTGTGTCCCCAGGAAAAAATAGTAAGTACTTTTGTTGAAAGATTGCACGAGTTTCGGGACATTTGGAACTCTAGAACTCAAGATGCACAGATTCTACCTTGGTTAGATGGATATAAAATTCCATTTGCGAGGCCAGTTATACAGGACTTGATTACGACAGATCCTGTTTGGTCCCAACAAGAAAAAGATTCAATTTGTAATGTGGTCAAACACCTGTTAGAGATAAGTGCAATTGCAGTTTGCGAACCTTGCAAGAATCAATTTATTTTACAGATCTTTTTGGTTTCAAAATTGGATGGTTCGGTTTGATTAGTTTTAAATTTAAAGAAACTGAATGCTTTTATTGACACTTGTCATTTTAAACTGGAAGACAGAAAATTAGTAGAAACACTCTTCACAAGGAAGTCCTTTATGACCACTCTGGACTTGAAAGAAGCTTACTTTCTAGTCCCAATAATTGAAAATCAAAAGAATTTTCTAAGATTTTATTTTGATGCTCTCTGTTATCAGTTTAACGTGTTACCCTTTGGTTTATGCACCGCCCCGTGGGCCTTTACAGAATTAATGAAATCTGTGGTTTCTTATCTCCCTGCCAAGGCTTTTCCCTCAATAGTTTATTTAGATAACTTTACTATTTGGTGATAGTTAGCTATCCTTAAAAAATGTTCCAGTAACTTGCAACACACTGATTAGGTTGGGTTATGTTATTAATTATAAGAATGTTTTACATCCTTCGAAATCCCGTAAATTTTTAGGTTTTGTTTTTTTGAATCCCACCACTTGTTTTTTCTGATGAGTAAGTAAGTTTTGCAATTTGAACCGTTGCGAAATAAGAGTCTTTGCCGAGCTTTGTGCTGTGCTAGTTTTCAGTTTGCCCAGCAGTTTGTTACAGTTGGGTATATACTAAGAATTTTTGAGAGAATCAAATATCTAGCCCTTCAAGACTCTGTCGATAATTATGATATTTGGATGATAATTCCTTGTAATTTACGGAGGGATTTTATGTGATGGCTAAAAAGTTTACAGAATCCTGAATGCCCTGTAAGGCAGCAATGTTACAAACTTGAGATTTTCTCAGATGGTACTCCTTTGGGTTGGGGAATTGTGCCAGAGAACTTTGGAGTCCTAGGGAAGCTCAGCTTCATATTAATGCACTAGAATTAACTGCGGCCTCATTTGGTCTCTAATGCTTCGCCTCGTATTTGACTAACTGCGAGACACTTTTGAGGATTGATAACACAACTGCTATTTTGTATGTAAATAGAATAGGGTGAGTAAAATTTCCTGTTTTAAACGAAATTTCGAGGCGCCTTGGGGTTGGTGTGAAGAAAGGAGGTTATGGGTTAAAGCATCTTACATTCGATCTTCCGATAATTTTGAAGCGCATAAGGAACCCACGAATTTGAATTTTGATGGTGAATGGTACCTTTCGGACAATGCTTTTGCTAAAATAACAAGCAAATTTGGATTCCCATAAATCGAACTGTTTGCTTCTCGCCTAAGTAAGAAATGCGGAAAGTTTATTTCCTAATTTCCAGATCCGGAGGCATCTAATGAAGACTCGTTTACTGTTTTTTGGAGCGACAGTTTCTTCTATGTTTTCCCCCCGTTTTGCTTGTTGCCACTTGTTTTACGAAAAATCAAGGCTGATTGAGCTACAGGGATCGCAGTAATCCCTTACGGGCACAGCCAGCATTGGTTTGCTTTTTTTTCATGGGAGGCGTTGTAGTTATTTATTGTTTCTAATTCCAGACAAATTACCTTCTTCTTTTGACAGGAGAGGTCACCCTTTGTGGAAATCCCTTACCCTGGCTGCAGGGATTTTGTCAGGCAAGCATTCCAGAAGATTTGCTGGATATTTTTCTATCATCTGTTCAGAGCGCTACCTTGAGGCATTTAATACCTGCATGCATTTAAACTTTGGTGGAGCTTCTACGAAAGGAGGGGAGTGGAGTGTTATTACTTCTCACCTAGGCTGTATTGGATTTCCTTACTATTCATTTTAGACAAGGCAAGTCCTATGGCTCATTGAGTTCTTTCAGTGCAGCACGGCCTTATTTTTGGATCAGGTTTATTTAACAATGCAAATCTAACTAGGTTTTTTAAGGTGTTTATAATCTAAGGCCAAGTAAACCAAGATATAACAGCACTTGGGGCCCTAGTTATGTCCCTGACTTTGTAAAAGGGTTACGTTCTAATGACTTGTCATTAAAGCAATTAACTGTCATTAAAACAATTAAATTAGTTTCTCCTACTGAAGTTAACGATTGTACATAGAGTCCAAACGCTCTCTCTTATAGAATTGGTCAACATAAAATCATTTCCAGATGGATTAGAAATTAGAATAACGAATCAAATTAAGATTTCAGCTATAAATAAGACTCGACCTGTTTTTTAATTTTGCATAAATATGAAGATGTAAATCTTTGTGTGGTTTCAAATATATTATTGAGAGGGCCAGTGCTTTAAGAGGCAGTGAATCTCGTTTACTCATTACATTTAAAAAGCCTTGTAGGGCAGCAACTATACCCAACAAAAGTAGATGAATAAAGATAACTTTAGAAGATAGTGGTGTCTACACTTTTATTTTTACTGTTCACAGAACTCGACATGCCTCAACATCGTCTGCGTTTTGTAAAGGTGTTTCAATTGATATGATTGGAAAAACGGCAGATTATTGAGAATGCTCTAAATGTTTTCCCCTTTTATATAATAGACCTATTTGTACAGCAAGTGCAGGCCTTTTTGTTAATGCCACATTTGGGACATAGAATTTTTCAGAAGGTTTGTTTTCTCGGATAGCCATTTATTTTGTATTTGTACTCGAGGCTTTCATAAACTTTCTGGATTTCCTTATATAGCCGAATAAAATCGTTTTATAACAAATTTGCTGAGTTGCCTTTGAAAGTCTACGTATATTGATTTCATAGAAGAGGTGTAACATATAATTCAATGATCAAACGAACTTACCTGGTAAGTGAAGTTCGATCGTAATTATATGTTACACCTCTTCGTAGAAATCACCCATTCCCGCCCAATTTACTGTTCTGAACAGTACTAAAATGCCCTTTGGCAAATTTATTATAAACGGGCTTTAAAATAGAATGAGGTTAAGACCATAGATGGCGAATATACCGTCCATGGTAAGTTATTCCACAGTTTTTTGGCTCTGCTTTAAAGCTGTGGTGCCACCTAGCGACTAGAAGGGGGACTACGTATATTGATTTCTACGAAGAGGTGTAACATATAATTACGATCGAACTTCACTTACCAGGTAAGTTCGTTTGATCATTGAATTCATTGTTATAGTTCGGCTTTTAACATGTGTTCTTTAAAGTATCTTTAAAAATATTGTTTTTAAGAAAAATTTTAATACACTTATTTACTACTTTTTATATAAAAATATTTGAAAAACTTACTTGCTATATTTAAATCTGTCCATTGAAATGATATACTTCTCAAGTGATTTTCTTCCGTCTAAATGATGATGATCCCTGCAAAGTCGTAATGATAATTTTTTGAATGAAATCGTCAATTTCAATTTGCAATAACTGATTGATGGTATTGTTTATAATCCGGTTGTCTATGATGATTTGTTTTCCATCTGTTGAAACGTAATAACGTTTAAATTTTTATTGTTAAATTGAATAAATATAACATTTGAAATCTAATAAAAATAATTAAAAAATTGAATTACGTCCATCTCCAATAGTTTAACATAATGTAAAATGATTTAAATATTAAAACTTTTGTATTGAAAATTATTAGATGCCTATTAAAAGTTATATGCTTTGTAAAAATGATTTAATTACATAACTAATTAAATAAAAGCATTTTATAATATTACTTAATAAAAAACTTACTTGTTACATTGAAATATGTTTATGTAAGTATTGTATTCTTCGGAAAACTTTTTCTCTTCTAGATGATATCAATTCATAATGGCGATGCAAATTATCAGCGACTTCTTTGCCGATGATTGGTTCCAGAAATTTTTCGTAAGGAAATCATCAATGATGATTTGCTCTTTATCTGCCCAGATAAATGAAATTTTTTACTATCATGAAATATAAAAAAAAAATGAAATTCATTACAATATCTTGAGAAATTAAAATTGTTTATTTGAAATAGGTATAAAAGTATAGCAATTATTTAAATATGAATGTTATATTAATGATAGAAAAAAACACAATTAATTTTAATTATATAATTTAAAGAAATTACATAAAATATTAATATGAAATATCAATTATGATATATAGTATGAATATAATAAAAACTTACCCGATGTTTGTCATCAATTATTCAAGTGATATTATTCTCGATATTTATTCTTGTAAATTCCTATCGATGATTTCTTTAGAGGTTTTGATTGTAATTCTTATAATGGTATGAAATTTGACGAGGTACCTTCAGTCACTATTGACAAACACTGTCTTAACTAAATTAAAGGATTCTTCATGATGAAACATCTCATTGTTCAATTATCCATGTTGTTTTATTTTTACATAAATTGTTGAATACTGTAATCATCTAAGGCGAAACAAAAATGAATTAAACGTTATAAAAAATAAAATGGCATAAAATTTAAAAATTCTAAATTAAATACCTGTTATTGGTAAAACGTATTTGTTTCTCTCCGAAATAATTCCTCACGATGTGCTCTTCACGAAATTAACGATGATATTTTGAAATTTCAAAATTTGTTGATTTGTGCTTCCTTTGACATTTTGCACGTTTTCTTATCGACGTTTAACTATGCTTTTATCTACAACAGTTACAAATTCAGATAGGCACCATAGCACAGCATGCGAAACCTCACAACTGTCAATGACGTCACACATTTTCATTATTAATATGAAAATCAAAATATTTTATTCCTAATGTGAATTTCATCACGATTTAAGCAATTATATATTATGAAATATGGAAAAAGTATTGTAATACTTGTGAATTTATTTAAAATGCTTAATTATAGTTATTCGAAAATATATTAAAAGATAATCAAAAATTACCCGCGTTATTATCTTTTTCTTAATTATAACACTTTGAGAGGGAAAGTAATTCATGTCGTAATAGACATTTGTAATATTATATGTGATTTTCAATTAAAAATTTATTTTTTAAGTAAAATTATTTGTTTACAGATTTCTATCATTTCTTGTAATTATTTTATTTTCTTAAAGAAATAAAAAGGAATCTATAAACAATTTCGAATTCGTTTCATAGATGGCGTGACTTTAAGATTTACATTTCTTTGTTTAAATTGTAAAATATTCAAAACTATATAAAATAAATTTTAAAATTTACATATTGTATTAAAGTTTTTTCGTCTTGAACGATTCAATGGATTTCTTTTATAATTGGTCAACGGCATTCTTCATAACTAAGTTATCGATGATGATTTGTTGTCCATCTGCAAATATATAATAATTTTTAAAATTTTATCGACAAAAATAAATATAAAATTTTAAAATAAAAAAGAAATATTAGGTAATTAAAATTTGTAAAATTTGTATGACTTAAGAAAATACAGAAATAATTAAAACATATTACCTGTTATCTGTAAAGTGCATTTGTTACTCTCCAAAATAACTCCCTGAGATGTATTCTTTATGCCATCAACGATAATATTTTAAAAATTTCATGAAATAAATTAATAAATAATTTTATGAAATAAATTCCCGTGATACGTTCTTTATGTGATCATCAACGATATTTTAGAATCTTGAAATTTATAGACATGTACGTTTTCTTACCATCATTTGACTGTAGTTGTGTCTATCATAATTTCTAATACTTTGGATGGTGATTTAAACATTCATTGTATGTTCTTATAATATAAAAATAACTAAATTTCATTACATTAGATAACAATTTTTAATTAATATAATTTTACGAGACACCTTTATTTATCTTTGATTCAAATCATCCCAGTTGAAATGTAACGATTTTTCATGATGACAGTTCCTTGTTTGTTTCAATTTTGGACTTTCATATTTACTGAAAATAAAAAACAATAAATTAAAAGACATGAAATACATCAGTATATTCAAAGTTATTATTTATGAAATTAATTGTAAAATGCATCTTTAATAACTAATCAATGGTAATCCTTATATATTCATTGATAAATCAAAACAATGTTTAATTTTCTTTCTTTCATTATTTTAAATTACTAACAATTATATTTCGGTCAAATAATAACCTTAATATGGCAATGATATTTTCATAGCAAAAATGTTTATAAACAATATTAAATTCTTTACAGTAAATGAAATTAAAAATTGTAAAACTTTACAAAACATAAAAATTCTGTCTAACAATGATAAATATTTATAAACGTAATTTAATTACTCACCTGATATTTCCTTAATATAAAAATAACTACAATTCTCTTTATGAAACATTAATTTTCAGTCAACTAAATTTTAGAAATTATCTTTACCCATATCCGATTGCATGAAAAGAGAGAAGGCCCCATATTTTCTGCTTACCGAGTGCCCTGCTTTAACATGAGCAAGATTGGAAGTCTTCGAAACGATCCTGATTAATCGAGATTCAACGTATGGTATTATTAGACTAAAGAAGTTACTAACCTTCTATGGAAAAGGTGGCATTTTGGACGCTCTTTAGAGCGCTCCTCCTTAATACCAATACTAATATTAATATCCATATCCCATAAAAATCATTTTATACGAATTATAATGATTCTTGACAATGAAACTTTTAAAAGTTATGTAATATTAATATTTACTTCAGAATTTATCTTGTTCATAGTCTATATAATCCCACTTTAGTGTAAATTGTAGAATCTTTCTATAACTGAAAACAAAATGAACACAAATAGAGGTTAGAAACAGTCATATAAACAATAAGTTTAAACATTAAATACCTTTCATTTATTATAGAATATATTAGTTTCTATTTAAAAACAATCTTCGACATATATTCTTTATACAATTGATGATATCTTTGCTGAAATTTATCGACATGTTTCCAAAATTTTCTATGGTTAATATTTGCAAATTGACGTTTTACCATAGATGTATCTCCTATAGTTCCTTTATGTATTCTAAGGTTATAATAATGCATTGAATAAACTCTCAACTATCAATGACATCACAAATACTCAAAATACCTCAAGAGTAATGGAACCACCTTCAAAATTTAATTGTTACGTATTATTATTTTAAAACTATTTTATTAGTAAAACGTAATGTTAGACAGAATTTTAAATTATCACATTATCTTCAGCACATCTAAAGACTTTGAAAATCTTTCGCATTTTGTTTTCGTTGGTATTGATGACGTTTAACAAAATTCCATAATGACATGAGTCTCCGACGACATGCAGAGCTTGCTATTTATAGTTAAACGCATAGATCAATAGGATTAAAGTTTGAGCAAATTGCACGTATAATTGTCGAACCAATCAAAATAAAGGATTCATATAGATCTCCCAGCCTACTCTTGAATTACAAACATTATTCACAGAATATTTACATTTCTAATGATTTTTAAAATACTTACATTGTTTTGAAAGGGTTGAATTTTTTTTTCAAGATAGCGATTAATAAGGTCCATTCGCAAATACTATAAAATCTCCCTCAACCCCCCAATTTTTAATTAATATTTTCGATTTATTGATTTGATGTTAGTCATAATTTTTTTAACAAATGTATATTTTTTATTTTTTAAAACACTTACGTTGCTCCGAGAAAGTTCAAATTTTTATCGAAGATGGAGGTCAATGAGGTTTATTCACAGATATATTAAAATTCCCCCCAGCCCTCTCCATTTAAATATTATTAATTATTTGCTAAAAATTTGCAGTCTCACTCATAAACTGCTCCCGATGGTAAACGGTGTAACTTGTGGGAATCTTTTTGTTATCGTTGGATAGAGGAAGGACCAAAATATTTAACGTACAAATTTCAATTTTTCAAAATTATAAGTAAATAAGATATAAAACGTTAAAAATTAATCATTGATTTTTAAGTCGATTTTTCCATTTAAAATGATATCTCAAGGTTATTTCTCAACTCATATTAAGCCGAAAAAGTTAACATTTTTATGGAAAATACACACCAATGAGATCTCTCTGCAGATACTATAACGTCTCCCCCAATCTCCTATTTTTGGTAAATATTTGCAATTTAATATTTTCATATTTATCATGATTTTGTTCAGGAATTTTTAATTTTAATATTTTTTTCTCCAAGAAAATTGAAATTTTTACCAAAGTTGAAGGTCAATGAGGTCTATTCGCCAATACCATAAGATCTGCCTCCAGCCCCCTCCATTATTAGTTAATATTCTCAACTTATAATTTTCATGGGTATCATGATGCTCCTAAAAAATTGTAGTTTTCATTTTTTTAAGACACCTACGTTGCTTTGAAAGGAGCGAATTTTTTTCTGAAGATGGAGACGAATAAAATCTATTCATAGAACTTATAAAATTCTCCACAGCTCCTACCATTTAATTATAAATAATATTTAATACAATTTTTTAAAAAATTGCAGTCTCCGACAAAAAGCGTTCCCGACAAAAAACCATACAACTTGTGTAAGATATTTAAGTATCATTAAATAGAGAAAAGATCAAAGTATCTACTGAGTGAGATTCAAATTCTTAAAACAATAAATAACGGAAATATTAACATTTTTTGAAAAAAAAACCGTTTTTTTTGTTAATATTTCGTCCCCGGGAAAAATTAAGAAAGTTATTATTAAACAACTGACTATTTTTTTTGAATACCCCCCCGACTCTCTAACTTCGTGCCAAATTTGAGCCGGATCGGTTAATATCGACCTCAATCCAAATGTTTATAAGTTGGTTTGGTCGTGATTTTTCCTAAAAATTTAATTTTTTAAAATATCTACATCGCTCTGAGAAAATTAAAGCTTTTACGAAAGATGAAGATCGATGAGATTTATCCTTAGATACCATAACGTCCCCCCCAGCATTCTCCATTTAATAGCAATTAAGCATTTTTTAAAAATTTGCAGCGTTATATAGAAACCGTTCTTGATGACAAACGATACAATTTACACGAGACTTTTTGACATAGTCGGATAAAGGAAGAATCAGAGTATATTGTGTATAAATTTCAAATTTTTAAAATTATAAATAAATGAAATATTAAAGTTTCAAAATTAACCATCAATTTTGGAGCAGATTTTTCAGCGTAAAATAGAATTTCGAAATGATTCCTCAAATATATTTAAAATTTTGTATAGGGGGGCTTTCGAGGATGACATATTCGAATTTGTTATTATTTTTTGATAAAAATTATTTTTAGTGCTCTAAAGATGGCTTCCTGCTAAAACGAAACGTCGGACATAATTTTAAATCATTACATCGTCTTCAGCGCATCTCAAAACCCCCGGAACCACCTTCAAATTTCAATTATTATAAATAAGTGCTCTAAAGATGGTTTCTTACTAAAACGAAACGTCGGACACAATTTTAAATAATTGAATCGTTTTCAGCGCACCTCAAAACCCTCGGAACCACCTTCAAATTCCAATTATTACGAATTAGTGCTCTGAAGATGGTTTCCTGCGAAAACGAAACGTCGGACAAAATTTTAAATCATTGCATCGTCTTCAGCGAACCTCAAAACCCCCGGAACCACCTTCAAATTCCAATTATTACGAATTAGTGCTCTGAAGATGGCTTCCTGCGAAAACGAAACGTCGGACACAATTTTAAATCATTGCGTCGCCTTCAGCGCACCTCAAAACCCCCGGAACCACCTTCAAATTCCAATTATTACGAATTAGTGCTCTGAAGATGGCTTCCTGCGAAAAGGAAACGTCGGACACAATTTTAAATCATTGCATGGTTTTTAGCGAACCTCAAAACCCCCGGAACCACCTTCAAATTCCAATTATTAGGAATTAGTACTCTGAAGATGGCTTCTTGCGAAAACGAAACGTCGGACACAATTTTAAATCATTGCATCGTCTTCAGCGAACCTCAAAACCCCCGGAACCACCTTCAAATTCCAATTATTACGAATTAGTACTCTGAAGATGGCTTCCTGCGAAAACGAAACGTCGGACACAATTTTAAATTATTGCATCGTCTTCAGCGACCCTCAAAACCCCCGGAACCACCTTCAAATTCCAATTATTACGAATTAGTGCTCTGAAGATGGCTTCCTGCGAAAACGAAACGTCGGACACGATTTTAAATCATTGCATCGTTTTCAGCGAACCTCAAAACCCCCGGAACCACCTTCAAATTCCAATTATTACGAATTAGTGCCCTGAAGATGGCTTCCTGCGAAAACGAAACGTCGGACACAATTTTAAATTATTGCATCGTTTTCAGCGAACCTCAAAACCCCCGGAACCACCTTCAAATTCCAATTATTAGGAATTAGTACTCTGAAGATGGCTTCTTGCGAAAACGAAACGTCGGACACAATTTTAAATCATTGCATCGTCTTCAGCGAACCTCAAAACCCCCGGAACCACCTTCAAATTCCAATTATTACGAATTAGTACTCTGAAGATGGCTTCCTGCGAAAACGAAACGTCGGACACAATTTTAAATTATTGCATCGTTTTCAGCGAACCTCAAAACCCTCGGAACCACCTTCAAATTCCAATTATTAGGAATTAGTACTCTGAAGATGGCTTCTTGCGAAAACGAAACGTCGGACACAATTTTAAATCATTGCATCGTCTTCAGCGAACCTCAAAACCCCCGGAACCCCCTTCAAATTCCAATTATTACGAATTAGTACTCTGAAGATGGCTTCCTGCGAAAACGAAACGTCGGACACAATTTTAAATTATTGCATCGTCTTCAGCGACCCTCAAAACCCCCGGAATCACATTCAAATTCCAATTATTACGAATTAGTTCTCTGAAGATGGCTTCTTGCGAAAACGAAACGTCGGACACGATTTTAAATCATTGCATCGTTTTCAGCGAACCTCAAAACCTCCGGAACCACCTTCAAATTCCAATTATTACGAATTAGTACTCTGAAGATGGCTTCTTGCGAAAACGAAACGTCGGACACAATTTTAAATCATTGTATCGTTTTCAGCGCACCTAAAAACCCCCCGAAATCTCCTTCAAATTACAATTATTACAAATTAGTGCTCTGAAGATGCCTTCCTATTAAAACGAAACGTCGGACACAATTTTAAATAATTGCATCGTCTTCAGCGCACCTCAAAACCCCCATAACCGCCTTCGATACCGTTATCATTCATGACGTCATTCCAAGGAATATCTATAATGAAAGGAGCCTCCCACGACATGCATGGACCAATAGGATCAAAGATTAGGAAAATTACACGTATAATCATCGGACCAATCACAGTAAAGCATTCAAATCGATCTCATAGCCTGCTCCTGAATTAGAAACATTATTTTCACAATATTAACATTTCTATTTTTTTTTTTAATACTTACGTAGCTCCGAGAGGATTGAAATTTTTTTTGAAGTTGAAGGTTAATAAGGTCTATTCGCAGCCACTATAAAATCCCCCCCCAGCCCCCATTTTTAGTTAATATTTTCGATTTATTCTTTCAATGTTTGTCATAATTTTATTTAAAAATTTAGATTTTTAATTTTTTAAAATACTTACGTTACTCGGAGAGGGTTGAAATTTTTACCAAGGATGGAGGTCAATGAGCTCTATTCACAGATACCATAAAACTCCCCCCACCCCACTCCATTCAAATAATATTATTTTTGAAAAATTTGCAGCCTTATGTATAAACCGCTCTCGGCGACAAACGGTGAAACCTGTGGAAATCTTTTTGACATCGTTAGATAGAGAAAGGACCAAGGTACTTAACGTGTAAATTTCAATTTTTCAAAATAATAAGTAAATAAGATATAAAACGTTAAAAATTGATTATTAATTTTTAAGTCAATTTTTCCATTTAAAATAAGATTTTAAGGTTATTTCTCGGCCCGTACTGCTTCGAGTAAGCTGAAATTTTTGCGAAAGATACACACTAATGAGGTCTATTCGTAGATACTATAACGTCCCACTCAACCCCCCCCCTTTTTGGTTAATATTTGCATTTTATTATTTTCGTATTTATCATGT